GGACACTTTCTGTTTTCGATGGGGAGGTAAGTTATACGATGACGATGCCACCAAGGAAAGTCCTGGCTGGTGTGAGCAAGAGATAGTCTCTCCCTAATCGAACTTATATGCTACTTCAGTTCTGAGCAAATGCATGTATGTAATAATATGTATAATATTATTAATATAATATATATATGTCTTTAAGCCACCCTGCTGCAGATCACCCCTCCGTTCACACAATTTGAACGAGGCGGTTGCATTTGACAGCCTTTCAAGGGAAAGATTGAGAAAGGCTACCTGAGTTTGGAAAAGTGCGGGGGGAGCATCGCATTGTTTTCGTATAACTTCGTATAAACTTCACGAAAACGCCGTGAATGAGGAAGAAAGGTACGAAGTTATACGACATCTCCTTCATTAGACATTGCATCAAGCCCCCAAAGGTGAAGTGTTGCAAAAACATCAGTCTATCATCTAAGGAGTTGGATTTCAAGGAGCTACGTGCAAACGGCAGCGCAGAAATTCAAGAATATTGCAACGAAGCTGAATGTGGGAAAAGCGCTACGCGGTTTTCGCTAGCTAGCTCCGGGGATTGACGAAATAAATAAGGTTCAAGTCTGAGGAAGCAGCGAAACGAACCATTTTAATTATTCGATATAAAGTTTTTTCTTTCATGAATTCACCCTTCTGGGAGCGCAAACCCAACATTCATTTCGGGGTTCTTTAGCCGGCATTCAATGTTAATCACACAGGTCAGTAACAAGTAGTGGTTAAAGAAGGTGAAATCGATGCCTGAAAAAGTGAACAATTTTTATACTCCCACAGGAATCCAGTGAATTTCGGCACGATTCCGGAAACCAGCAGGATTCGTTGCTTGGAAGAGATCCAAGCCAAGATTTCTTCCGCTGCATGAGTTACTTTCAAGTAACGGCTTCGAAAATGCCCCTCTGCCTCTCAAAGTAACTTACTCAGAAGTCCTCTTCCGACAATTGAGCCCTTACAAAACGTTTCCGACACAATACCACACTGGTTAGTAATGATCAAAAAGATTGGGCTAAAAGAAACAATGGAGGTGTTGAAAACAACGACAAGTGCCGAGTGCACTACCATAACATGGGAAGAAATCATATCTTTGAGATATCGTTATAGGGGCGGAAGTGGTGTAGTGACAAGTGGCGCGCTTACCACGCGAGCGGTCCGGGGATCAAATCCTGGGTCGTGAGTCGCCCGGGCCAACCAAGCCTTCCATCCCTCCGGGGTCGGTTAATTGGTACCAGACTTGTCTGGGAGGATAAAAACACTGACTTGAACATCGGCTGGCCCCCGCAAGTCATTGTATAGGCCACATCGCATTCAAATGCCACTGCGAATGTACAAATGGAAGTAGAATGCGTGCCGCATCCCAAAAGGGATTGATCAACGGCAAATGCTTTATCCTTTATCCTTTATTTTACTGTAGTAGGTTGATTTGACGAAGTGTTGATTCAATAGGTAGGAAATATGTGTTCATTTAATTGTTTATTAGCACACGTCTTCTTTAACAAGTGAACAGTTATCAAACCACACTCTGAGTTTTCTACAGGTAGTTTTCTCTTAAATGAGAAATGGGCATAAAGGTCGAGGTTGCCATAATAAAAATTATAGTGATATTCACAAGAGGCCTAATTGCTTGACTTCAAAGCAGCCGAAAATAGACCTACCCTAAATGCGTTATGTTCGCTTAGGCAAAATAAGGTAGCGAAGTGTGGTGAGTGGGTTACGTCAGAAAAATGCGTGCAGTTATGCAAACGGTAGTCAGTTATAAAGGATAGAGATGTAACGATTCAAAAGCTGCAGGATTATTAAAGAAGACAATCCAAACCAAACTCTGGCCCCGCCGAAAGGAGCCCCGCCCTTGAGTACGATTACTGACCTCTGCGATATCGTTACCACTATCGTTCGATTTTCATTTGAGAAACCATTTCGTAACAAGCAGCGCTACTTCGTATCTTTCAATGTGGAAACTTCTGTTAAAGGTCCTTCACACAAAAGCTACCTCTGATCCGTGAACTCGTCCAAAATCCCAAGAAAGAGGGTTCTCATTGGCGGTTTCAAACGAGCTATTTTCCACTACGGCCGATGTTTCTCACTCTAATTTTCATACTAATGACAATATAATTATCACGCCACTGCACTTTTGAGTAATAGTTTCCGACCACATTAGTGAGCTACAGGTTCATACGAAGTTGTAGCTGGAATTGATCGGAAGCGTAGGCAGTACAATTTTCTAATGATTTCATAATAAGAAATACATGATACTTCAAAATAGCGTACAATCCATAAATGCCCAAAAGAGAAGCTAGAAAAGAGACAAGATGAAGCTTCCGCAGTGTCCCGCACAATCCATAGACAGCCCGTAGAAACGCGAACGAGACTGATTCGCCGTCTGCGCCGCCGGATGGCCTCGATTCGTCGCCAAAAAAGGCTCCGATGACTCCGCGCGTGAATGCCGCAGACTTTTTGTACCGACAAGTGAATGTATTACCAGGAGACTTTGGATCAAGAAGAAAAGAATATACGGCCTCATACTTGCAGAGTTGGCGTGCGCCTGATCGTCAGCGAAGATTATACTGTCGTCTCTAAGTTAAAGCAATAACCCCGGATAAAGGCGGAAGAGGGGTAACAGCGCTCGATAATTGAGTTGATTGTAAAAAATTATTAAAAAACATAAAACGCTAAGAAAACCTTCTTGGAGACCTCGGGCCCTCCTCTCCCCAGTGAGGAAAGGGCGTGTATGGACGAGTTTTCCGAACCTACTTGCTCCATGGCTTCGCCAACCCGCTTGTATTTAAATGAGCCGCGCCGCATAATAAATGCTGCCTGATAGCAGATGAGAAACCTCGTCCGCTTACTCACTTTGCTTAGGTTTGCTCATTTTGTAAGGCCTTAACGCCGTTACCGAGGGGTTTAACGTCGCGTCAAGGGCACTTCTGTGATAGTCGTGGGCAACTGTATTCTTCTACGAAAAGTGCACGCGTTAAACTTTTGCTGTAGGATTCTCATTGCAAACGTCCTCGACCACAACCAGTGCAACGAAATTTGGCGACGACGCTGTCTCTTCCGTGTTTTGGTCTCGTAATGGCATTTCATTCGGCCTTGAAGGCGGATTCAACGGTTATTACACCTCAATGGAAATCAAGGAAGAGTGGTACAAAGATAATAAAAAAAACTATGAAAAACGGTTCAAACCCCGTGGGACACTCATTCCCTACTTTGATTTCCACGTTCGTTCGGTTTGTTGGTTTGTTGTTGATGTCCACGTCATCAACAGGCACTCTGCTCTGCTTCTCTGCAAAACGGCTGGAGTCCGACGACGAGGGATCAGCCAGTCGGTGGGCGTGTATGGCCGAGAGCGGGTACCCGACAGGAGGCCTGTCGAGTACCCGCCGAGAGGAGGTGCGGCTGTTAGAAGGGCTGTTAGAAGCGGACCCTTTGCATCGAAATGTGCATCGCAACGCACGCTTGAGGTGGTGCCACCTCTCCTGTAAGTCTGATCCCCTTTATTCCACCTTCAAATTATCATTCCCAATGCGCTGCGATTTCTGTGTTCGAAACCTCGAATACTGCTGGGACATTTCGCGATAAGACCAGCCCCAACGGTGCCATGGATTTTTCTCCCCAAAGCTGCCTGCTGATTATACGACGCTGCGATTCTATTTAATCTCGAATCTGTGGCACATATCGAGAAAAAAACGACCAGCCTCAGGGGCCATAATTTTTCCCAAACCTACCTGATACCAGAACGAAAAGGTATGATTGTTAGGTCAGCCGGCGGACGGACGGTTAACCCTGCTGGGAGGTGTGAAACCACTAGATTTCTGAATAAGACGGTTCGACCTTATCAGTGAAAAAGACCTCGTTGAATGGGGAGGTCCTTGAATGCTTCGACGAGGGGTTTCATGAAGGCTTGGTGACATTTTGGAGGAAAGGCGGAAGAACCTGCGTAAGAACTGTTCATTAGCGTAGGCTAAATTTAGCCGATGTGAAATCCGGGAGACAGTGACGAGAAGGGCGTTTGCAATTGTGTCGGGAATTACGGTAGAGGACAAAAAACAAACCATCGAATGCGACATTGACGGAAACGACTTCCCCAGAGGTGGAAGGTTAGCTATCCAAAAAAGCAAATGGAAAAGAGTGGCAAAAACTGGACGGTCACGGTGAGAATTGGCCCAAAACGGGAACGTCGCAATATTTTTACAACGAAGAAGAGATGGTCAGGTGGAGATGCTCATCTCCGACGTAGCAAATGCAGCCTGATTCTACATACGATACGATCGTTCCCATGACCGTGTCGCCTCAAGATAGAAAGCGGCTGTCAAAACAAATGGAATGGCACCCTCGAACAACAAGCTAAAACACCAGTGATGACCATCTCCAGCCGAAAACATTTACTGTCTTTTAGTGAGCTAAAAATAGCCAAAGCGCAGAGGTTTCAGAGCGAAAACCCTTTGTTAGGCCCGACTACACAACGTTGGTTCCCTCATGGAATCATGCAGGGGCGAAGTTTACTTTTGATTTTTTACATTTCTATAGATACCAAACCAGATCTTTTTTACCTCTTCACTGAGGACGCGGAGGGAGGGAATCGGTGTTGGTGTGGATTCCGTAGAATTCTAATAGCAACACAACGAAACACAGTCTACTTCTTTGAAATGTTCCTTTTGGAAAATTGTTTTCTGTTTCGTTCCTTGCACGAATTCCATTAAACTTACTTCGTAGCACAGCGTAGAATCGCTGTACCACGTGAATGTTACCCTTACTTTACCGCTCCTGCTTTAAAGCAGCCAACCGCCATAAAAAGAAATGGAGCCATACTTTTGCTACATGGAGGATAAAGAAGCCAAGCTTAGTCGAGAGACGTAGCTTAGCTTAGCAGTAAGCCTAACACTAAAAGCCTTCCATCATGAAAAAAAATCAACAAAGGACTATCCAAATTATCATGTTAAGTGAACAAAGCGGAGCAAAATGCACAATGTATAATATCATGAAATGCCGAGATTATTGGATGTCTCGCACGTCACGATTTCTTTTCGCAAAGTACAGCATGTCCTCGAAAAGTGCCTGCGTCTTTTCATGTAGTGTTTCTTGAATGGTGACCTTCTCATCGTCGCGACGATTTTTCTCGCACCAATCTGAAAGGTGGTATTTTGTCTAGGGATGGTGTACAATAGACAAAATGAAAAATCTAATTTTATTCTTGAGATACTTAGCGAGTGGATTTTGTTAGCAATATGTATAAGCTTCATGGTAAATATTCGTCCATACAGCAGCTCTATAGCAAACTATTTTGAAGTTGTCTTTCCCATCAGCACGGTCCCGGCCGATTAGTCGTTTCATGACCGAGTGCCGTGCCCCCAGCAGAAAGCAGATTCGTAGACCAATCCCCTGCACAGGTTCAGCTCCACGATGGCGGAGCAGTGGCAGGTGGCGCCGATATCACTCTTAGGGTCTTAGAGGATCACACTCCGAACCCTCTTCTGACCAGCGGGGTCGCATCCTATCCTTCCCTCAGTAGAAGGCGTCCCCCACCGCTAATCCTATCCTACGGCTGGGGAGACAGTGTTGCGTCATAGGACCAGCCATAATTTGCGTCTCTAAACTACAGACAGCGCGAACTTTCGGGTGGAAGAGAGCTTTAGCAGGGGAGAGTAGCTACAACATTACTCGTACTAGTGGCGGTCCCTATGACAAGATATGACCTTCATCGTTCCCCAGCCGTAGTTAGGAACTGCAACAGTGGGGACGCGTGCCCCTGGGGTAACGATAGGATACGGCTCCAGAGCACGACTAGGTGCTTTCAAGACCAATCGAACGATCCCTTTGTAGGATTGAAACATCTAAGCTGAAAGGCTGTCGTCGCGCCAAGCTACAAGTCCTGTGACGGTCCTGTCTCCGTCTACCACATGGAAATGAAGATCGTTCAAGAGATGATACAAAATTAGGATACCACTTTGATAAATATTAACTATCGTGCTGACTCAAAAACCCAATGAGCATTCATAGAATTCCGCAAATTCGCGTGGAACTATTGTTGCACTGGCGCCTCTGAAAATTGTTTCTGGCTTGAGAAGTGCAGTTTTCTAGAACGCTAGCCAAAACCATAGCCCTATCTCTGAATCGTTAGCTCGTTGACTTCCGAGGATAAGCCGGCACAAGCATTTTCATAGTGCCAACGCTGGAATCAGAGCGTAAGCTCGACCCCAATCCCCCCCCCGGCGTTAAGTGTTTAACAAATAACAAACTACATCTAAGAAAGAAATAATAAAAGAATTAGAGTTGTGGTCACGATCGACCTTTCCTCAGATTGGTTAAAACTAACCTTAGCAACAGCGTCAATCACTGGTAGTAAAATTACTCCCGCGAATGGGAAAAATCGTCGATACGCTTCCTTAACTGAAAAAACAGTTCCTTTGTTTGCAACTTCTAATGCCTGTGAGAAGAGCAAAAGGGAGATGAGCCGATTAAACAAATCAAAAATGAAGGCTCTCCGCTAATATAAGGGCATTGGGGTGGCAAATGCAATTGAAACCGTTACAAACACCTCGGTTTTGTCACAAACGGACGGAAGAGGAATCAAGACGTGAGCAATTTCATTTTCCATTCAGTTCTGCCCATGCCCGTAGATAGCACCCATGACAGGGTCAACCGTCCGTTGGACAAAGTCCAACGCGACGACGAGAGTAATGCCGAGAGTGAACGTACGCACGGAGACACAGACGGCTCGCGGGTGGCGAGAGTGAATGCCGGCGCGGAGAGCGGTGAACATCGGTCCAACGTCGCTCCAATATCGGTCCAACGTAACGGTTGACCCTGCCCCGAAGAGTACGCCCCGCTAGTGAATGGTAGAGGCGAACCGAAATGACACAGTGCATTTAGAGTGCAAGTGGTATACGGGAGAAAGCAATGCCGTGGTTCAGCAGATCCCCACCAAACCTTTGGGAATGTCCCTGCTTGGCCGCCTGAGTCTTTTAGGCCATTCCCTAGGCGCCAGCCATGTTTCGCAGGACGAAATCACTAAGATCCGAGTCGGATGGCTCCATATGGAATTCACGTAGGCCTGCCTATGTTTTCAAATCTACATAGCTTACTCTGGGAAGATTACTGCAAACTATCACTACCGAAGCCTTCCAGTACTGGATTACATTACCAGCAGCTGTTAAATAAGAACACTAAATGACTATAAAAATAAATAATAAATTACTCACTTGGTCAAGTGAGTAGGGAACTTCTGTAGAACCACAAGTAGGTGGTAAGATACCCGTGGAATTCCTTCAACAGACTGTCCCATTTCTCGCGTCGGTCGTGACCACTGAGGGTCGTGATCAGTAGGCGCGTTAAGTCTTCGGCCTGCGCATCCAAAGTGAGCCAGCTAGAATATTATCACGTTACGAATCCGTTCCTATGTGTAGTACAATATTTCCTTCAATATCAAAATCAAAAAAGAGCGAAAATCCACCTCAATTTTGGAATAGACCGGTGTGGGTCAAGAGATTCAGATTGTGGTGGCGCGCGGATTCTCGAGCCAGTGACTCCGCCCACCAGCATTGTGATGCCAAATCAATAGGAAAATGGAGTGTACGTCCAATACGTTTTCACCCACGGTGGGAATTAGGAACTTTTCTAGACTGGGTAATGTCTTGTTTTGAATGGATTAGTGACACTCCTGTGTTCCGTGGGAAAAATACGGTTGAAAAGGAGAGAAAATGAAAAAAAGTGAGAGAGCTCCCACTCAGCATGTTACTATTTAGCGCTCAAACTTGCGCAAAGATGAACTTGCTCCCCTGGAAGAGCTGGGATTTTCACTGGAAAACGTCACTCCGCCTTCAACTTGGATCTCCTGACCCAAACCTATGAACATGACAATTACCATGACTTCCTGTTTCCACCACTTCCCCCGATTGGGAGCTCAGACGAAGAAGCGCGCAACCACGTCAGCCATTTCATGCTCGCTTTTGTAAACTCTTTGAAACGTCAATTTTTGGGAAATCCTTCTCAACGGGGAACCGATGTTTGCGATTCAAATCGGGGGTGGGAGGAGCCAAAGATACATATTGGACGCAGAAAGTTTGAACTGGATACCGAGAAGAGAAAACAAGAATTAACCGTACCGAACTCCCATATCGAACAATCTATTCTTACTTCAAAGCGCGCGACAACGGCGCTAGGGTTTTACAAGGACGGAAATGACGGCTAATGTGAGCTAATGGACGAGATTTCCGGCGCACACCCCATGAGACACGATTCGTTTTCGGTCAGCTCGGCATCCACAATTTCAGTATTGACCGCTGTTACCCTACCAATTTGATAGGAGTTCTGATTTGCTTTAATTAGGTCAAAAACGAGGCAAAATATAGTTTTCTGAGTGTTAACCATAGAAATAGCGGGTTCAAGTTTCGTAAACCAAGAGTTTATAAAGTCTGTAGGTAATAAGAATACCATAATCAGCAAAGATAAGGCTAATCATCGGGGAAAAATATTCGCCCTTTGTGTCCTTTCTGCACTACAGAATCCACAACACAAGCGACGACAACGCCCTCCAATTTGATTCGATAACTATAAATTCATAGTTAAAGGCGGGCGGTCGAAAGGCTTAGTGATCTCTGACAGATGATAAATGATAGTTGTAATTAGTGACAAATGGCAGAATAAGAACTGCCGAACCGGCTAAATCGATTTCGTTTGCCAGAGAACTAGTACATTTTGTGGGAGCCGTCGTCACTTGTGATGTGAGGTCTGTAGTGCACACCCACCTGGCCACACGAAGGTTAGGCGTTAGCTCAGGGTGATATAAATTGGATTCATGGCGCATTACAGCAAAAGCGAAAGCGATTCACTCACTTGAAAGTCAACAATTCTGGCCAGCTCAAATCCGCTCTCGGTTTTCTTCCACAACAAATTTGCTGACCACAAATCGCCGTGGATCATAACGTCCTTCATTCCTAAACACCAATGAGTATCGTATTTTATTTTTCTCTTATGTACCCTGTTCCTATTTTTTCTATTCATTTACACTCGGCGTGAGTCATGGCCGGGTACAGAAAAAAAAACAAATATCACTCCACTCTGTAATTCACCCCCTATCGATCGATTGTCCGGAGGTTTTCGCGGTGCTTTGCGCCGCGTGCGCCGTTTTCAAACAATTCTCACAACGTTCTTTTGATTCGAAAAGCGAAATCCATTTTTGGTATCAGCGTCAAAAGTACCATTAAATGACATAGAAATGAATTCCAAATTCTCAAAACAAAATCTCCCTTGATCTTCACCACCACACGACTGCTTATACGGTAAGCGCTTTGATCTACTGTCGATGCCTCCGTCGAAAAAAAGCGTCCCGCGCTGAAGTCGAGGGACTGGCAAAAAGGAAGAGACTGTGCATTTGCGGAGAGGGCAGACGGCCATACGAGGGGTCGGCTCCTACCATCGATGGGAGATCAAAAGATGGCACTATACCGACCCGTCTGAGTTTGGAAAGCAGTATCAAAGGCATATTCAAATAAAAAGTTTACATGTAGATATAACTGTTACGTCATCACATTGGGTTTTCGGCGCTGATTTCAAATATGAAGACCATTTTCAAATTTTCGAAGTTCTACAGTGGTGGAGTGGTTAACAGCCTCCCAATCAATACTTATTTTCTTCATTGTCGCCTGCTACCGTGGCCTTCGTGGTTGCGACTATAAACACGACCTAACGGTTCAATAATTTTTGAGATTGCATTTTGAGGTGATGCGATTTATCACCCTCCACTCATACAAGACGCCTCCGCTATTCCCCTCATACGCATTCGCTACACAACTCGGAAGTGGAATTCAGCGCAGCGGAAGGGTGAAAGGCTGTTTTTAGAAACCGCCCACATTCTCACTGTTTCCTCTTCGATCCGCAGTTTTATTAAAATAAGGCTCAGTTACCTGATATATCCAAACTTCAGGCTGGTTTAGGTAACTATCACAATAACTTATTCGAAGGCTGTCAAAGTGACTCATACAGGGGGGGGGGGCAAAAAAAAAAGACATTTTGCCCATGTCGCACTTCGGCCTTTTTTCTTCGCAGAGATTGCCGTCGTTGACGGAAGTTCCTCAGCAAAATATTCCCTAAATGTCCCTCTATAAGTACACGCAGGCCCTCCTTCACTACCCTCACCGTCTTCAGAATATGACGTCATCTGTCACCGTCGTCGAGCTCAGGGAGGCCTACAGTAACTGCTTCAGCCTGAAGCTCTTACATAATTTCTTGGATCGATTCAACGTGGGATAGTTTCCTAGGGATTAGCTCTAACTATGCAAACCCCCTCGGAACCCGCCCTTTCCCCGTCGTAACGGTACACGATCAGTCGAGAACCCCACTGAGCTCGACCAGAGCACCATGTTTCCGGGGCAAATTTTCTGATGCCGTCCACGTAGATGGCCACTATGAAGATTTTCTTATGAAATGAAATCAATTCTAAGTTGGGAGCACACGCTTTGAGCTGAGCAAAGTGTGATTAAATCCATTTGAGTCTGGAGACAAAATGTCTTTTTTTATTGCCCCCCCCCCCCCCTGTATATTTCTGGGTTCCCTATGCTTATACTTCAGCTTACCGAGCTCGTCATTCAATGTAGACGGTAGTTTCATGTCAGCCAACTCAGTAGCCATTGCCGATAACTCTGCACAGCAACTTTCCCAAGCCTTTGATTGACTGCCTACATCCAGGAGCATCTTTGCTGCCGCCTGTAAGCAGTCTTGGATCATATATTCTAGTAGCAGCCCAAAAAGTTCAGTTATCAGCTTATTTTTTACAGTACACCGGTGCTGAAATTCAATGGAAAGGTACCTGAGGTGGCAGCAGCGGTCCGTAGATGTCGGCAATTGGATTGCTGGCAACTTTTTGTTTTTCTTCATCAGTCAGTTGAAGGCTTACGGCTTCGAGGTAGGCAAGTGCACGCAAAGCCTACAAAGTCTTCCCAAGTCTTCTCAATAAGCCAGATGTAAGGGTCTTATCCCTATACATCACCTTGCTATATAGTTTGAGCTGCTTACAAGTTTGACCTATCTTCGGAGAATTAAAAAATAAAGTTTTTGGAGAGATTACAGGGGCACGGCGCATACCAATCAAGCAAAAACCCACATCGGATATTTCGTTGACGGTAACGTTGTGGAAAATATGTCTCAGCTCCACACCATCAACCCATTCCATTCCGAGGAAGGCTGAAAGGGAACACTGAACTTCATCATGTATGTAAGAAAAATGAAACCGGCGCAATGTGCATCG